TGAAATTGAGGCAGTAATTAATAGCCTACCAACCATAAAAAGCCCAGATCCAGACGGATTCACAGCCGAATTCTACCAGAGGTACAAAGAGGAGCTGGTACCATTCCTTCTGAAACTATTCCAAACAACAGAAAAAGAGGTACTCCTCCCTAACTCATTTTATGAGGCCAGCATCATCCTGATACCAAAACCTGGCAGAGACACAACAAAAAAAGAAAATTTCAGGCCAATATCCCTGATGAAGATCGATGCAAAAATCCTCAATAAAATACTGGCAAACCGAATCCAGCAACACATCAAATAGCTATCCACCACAATCAAGTCAGCTTCATCCCAAGGATGCGAGGCTGGTTCAACATATGCAAACCAATAAACGTAATCCATCACATAAACAGAACCTATGACAAATAAGAACCTATGAGATAATCTATTGATTATCTCAATAGACGCAGAAAAGGCCTTTGACAAAATTCAACACGACTTCATGCTAAAAACATTCAATAAACTAGGAATTGATGGAACATATCTGAAAATAATATACTGAATAGGCAGAAGCTGGAAGCATTCCCTTTGAAACCCAGCACAAGACAAGGATGCCCTCTCTTAACCCAGCACAAGACAAGGATGCCCTTTCTTACCACTCCCATTTAACACAGTATTGGAACTTCCGGCCAGGGCAATCAGGCAAGATAAATAAATAAAGGGTATTCAGATACGAAGAGAGGAAGTCAAATTGTCTCTGTTTGCAGATATCATAACTGTATATATAGAACACCCTATCATCTCAGCCCCCAAACTCCTTAAGCTGATAAGCAACTTCAGCAAAGTCTCAGGATAAAAAATCACACGCATTCCTACAAACCAAAAATCACACGCATTCCTATAAACCAATAATAGAGAGCCAAATCATGAGTGAACTCCCATTCACATTTGCTACAAATAGAATACAATGCCTAGGAATACAACTTAGAGGGGATGTGAAGGACTTCTTCAAGAAGAGCTACAAACCACTTCTCAAGGAAATAAGACAGTACATAAACAAATGGAAAAACATTTCATGCTCAAGGATAGGAAGAATCAATATTGTGAAAATGGCCATACTTCCCAAAATAATTTATAGATTCAATGCTATTCCCATCAAGCTACCATTGACTTTCTTCACAGAATTAGAAAAAACTACTTTAAATTTCATATGGAACCAAAAAAGAGCCCATATAGTCAAGACAATCCTAAACAAAAAGAACAAAGCTGGAGGCATCACACTACCTGACTTCAAACTATACTACAAGGCTATAGTAACCACAACAGCATGACACTGGTACCAAAACAGATATATAGACCAATGGAACAGAACAGAGGCCTCAGAATAACACCACACACCCACAACCATCTGATCTTTGACAAACCTGACAAAAACAAGCAATGCGGAAAGGATTCCCTGTTTAATAAATGGTGTTGGGAAAACTGGCTAGCCATCCATACACAGAAAACTGAAAATGGACTCCTTCCTTACATCTTATACAAAAGTCAACTCAAGAAGGATCAAAGATTTAAATGTAAGACCTAAAGCCATAAAAACCCTAGAAGAAAACCTAGGCAATACCATTCAGGACATAGGCATGGGCAAAGACTTCATGACTAAAACACCAAAAGCAATTGCAACAAAAGCCAAAATAGACAAACTGGATCTACTTAAACTAAAGAACTTCTGCACAGTAAAAGAAACTATCATCAGAGTGAACAGGCAACCTATAGAGTGAGAGAAAATTTCTGCAATCTATCCATCTGACAAAGGGCTAATATCAAGAATCTACAAGGAACTTAAACAAATTTACAAGAAAAAACCAAACAACCCTATCAAAAGGTGGGTGAAGAATATGAACAGGCACTTCTTAAAAGAAGACATTTATGCGGCCAGCAAACATATGGAAAAAAGCTCATCATCACTGGTCGTTAGAGAAATGCAAATCAAAACCATAATGAGATACCATCTCATGCCAGTCAGAATGGCGATAATTAAAATGTCAGGAAACAAGAGATGCTGGAGAGGATGTGGAGAAATAGGAACACTTTTACACTGTTGGTGGGAGTGTAAATTAGTTTAACCATTGTGGAAGACAGTGTGGCAATTCCTCAAGGATCTAGAACCAGAAATATCATTTGACCCAGCAATCCCATTAATGGGTATATACTCAAAGGATTATAAAGCATTCTACTATACAGATATATGCATAGGTGCCATGTGCCATGGTGGTTTGCTGCACCCATCAACCCGTCATCTATGTTAGGTATTTGCAGGGACATGGGTGAAGCTGGAAACCATCATTTTCAGCAAACTAACACAGGAACAGAAAACCAAACACTGCATGTTCTCACTCATAAGTGAGAGTTGAACAATGAGAACACATGGACACAGGGAGGGGAACATCACACACTGGGGGCTGTCAGGGGGTGGGGAGCAAGGGGAGGGGTACCAAATACCTCTATCAGATCTCGTGAGACTTATTATCATGAGAATTGCACAGGAAAGATTGCCCCCCATGATTTAATTACCTCCCCCTGGGTCCCTCCCACAACATGTGGGAATTCTGGACATACAATTCAAGTTGAGATTTGGGTGGGGACACAGTCAAACCATATCAATACAACATAAACAAATACAAACAAAATACAACATAAACAAAATGAAGGGAAAAACAACCCATGATCATCTCCATTGATGCAGAAAAAGCATTTGACAAAATTTATCACCTTTTTATGATAAAAGCACTCAACAAACTAGGAATAAAAATTAACTGCTTCAATATATTAAAGGCTATATGTGAAAAGTCCACAGCTGACATCATAGTCAATGGTAAAAAGCTGAAAGCTTTCTTATTAAGATTAGGAACAAGACAAGGGTGCTCTTTATCACTTCTAGTCAACATAGTACTAAAAGTCCTAGCCAGTGCAACTAGGCAAGATGATGAAATAAAAGGCATCCAAATTAGGGAGAAACAAAGTTATCCTCTGATCACAGACAACACAATCTTATAGGTAGAAAAAAAACCCTAAATATTTCACACACATACACAAAATAAGAATTAATAAAATTCAGCAAAGTTGCAGGATAGAAAATCAACACACAAAAATCAGGTGTTTTTCTATGCATTAACAATGAGCTATCTGGAAAGAATTATAAAAATACTCACATTTATAATTGCATCAAAGGTGTAAAATACTTAGAAATAAACTTAACTGAGATGAAAAACCTGTACACTGAAAACTACAAAACACTGTTGAAAGAATTTAAATAAGATACAAATAGAAAGACATCCCATGTTTGTGGGTTTGAAAGTTTATAATGTTAAGATGTCAATCCTACCCAAAATAATCTACAGATGCAATGCAATCCCTCTGAAAATCCCAACATTTTTTGTAGAAATAGAAACATCTATCCTGAAATTCATCTGGAATTCCAAGACACCCCAAATGGCCAAAATAATCTTGAAAAATAAAAACAAAGTTGGAAGTCTCACACCTCCTGGTTTTCAAACTTACCACAAAGCTACAGTAACCAAACAGTGTGGTACAGTGTGGCGTAAAGACAGATGTATAGGCTAGTGAAACAAAATGGAAAGCCCAGAAGTCAACCACACATATATGATCACATGACTTTTGACAAAGGTTCCAAGACCATTCAATGGAGAAAGGGTAATCTCTTCAACAAACGGTGTTGAGAAAACTGGATATTCACATATAAAAGAATGAAGTAAGACGATTACTTAATATCACACACAAAAATTAACTCAAAATGCATCAAAGACCTAAATGTAAAACCTAAAGCTATAAAACTCTTAAAACATAACGCAACAGTGATTTATTGATTATCAATGATTTATTGATTATGGCACTAAAAGCATAGGTAATAAAAGAAAAAACTGGTAAACTAGACTACCTCAAAATCTAAAAATTCTATGAATCAAAGGACATAATCAACAAAAAGGCAACTTACACATTGGGAGAAAATATTTGCAAATTATGTCTTTTTTAAAGTGTTAATATCCAAAATATATAAAGAACTCCTACAAATCAACAACAAAATAAAACTTGATTTTAAAAAAATGGTCAAGAGACTTGAATTGGCATTTCTCCAAAGAAGATATACAAATGGGCAGCAGTCACACAAAAAGATGTTCAATGTCACTAATCATTAGGGATATTCAAATAAAAACCCACAACGAGATGCCACCTCATACCCATTAGGATGGCTACTATAACAAAACAAAACAAAATAATAAGTGTTGGCAAGGTAGTGGAGAAACTGGAATCCGTCTACATTGGTGGTGCAAATGTAAAATGGTGCAGCCACTATGGAAAACAATATGGTAGTTCCTCAAAAAATTAAAATGTAATTACCATATGATCCAATAATTCCACTTCTGGATATATACGCAAAAGAATTGAAAGCAAGGTTTCGAACAGATAGCTGCATGCACATGTTCATAGATAGTGCATTATTCACAATAGTTAAACATGGAAGCGCCCCAAATTGTCCACTGATGGATAAAGGATATGCAAAATGTGATATATACACACAGTGGAATATTATTCAGCCTTAAAAAGGAAAGACATTCTGACATATGCTAAAACATGGATGAACCTTGAGGACATTATACACTATGCTAAGTGAAATAAACTGGTCACAAAATACCGTATGATTCCCCTTATATGAGGTACTTGGAGTAGCCAAAATCATATATATAAAGTAGAGTGGTGGTTGACAAGGGCTAGGGAGAGAGCCGAGTAGAGAGTTCTTATCTAATGGGTGGAGAGTTTCAGTTTTGCAAGATGAAAAGAGTTGTGGAAACGGATGGTGGTGATGGCTATACAACAATGTGAATGTACTTAATGTCACTGAAACACACATTTTAAAATGGTTAAGATGGTAAATTTTGTATTTATCACAATTTTTAAAAATTAAAATCAAAAGACCATTTTTTAAGACACATGCTAAGAAGAGAAAACCACAAAAGTAAAAATAACATTTTAGCCCCATGATACAAATTTGGGGGATATTTTATTAGGATAATTAGAAATAATGCAAATTCCTTTCCTCTATAAAATCTAATTGTATTCTAACTTAAATGTTTTCAACTGCTTACATGCATTTTCATTCATTAGCTACTTTGATAAATGCTTTATAATAGTCTTTGTTCAATACGATGGTAAAAAAATGAAAAACATTCATTTTTAAAAATAAAATTTTGGGAGACTAATATACATACTTTTTCCTGATTTCAGAATTCCTTGAATGCCCAGATTTGCACAGACATGAATGTGTATTAAAATTACTTAGTTAAAATATCTGGTTACAAAATATTCTACATATTCCGCTAAACATTTTTAACTTCTAATTTGATTCTTATGTTAATAAAAACATCATCTGTCAGTGGAACATCGGGCACGAGAAATATAGCTAGCAAGGCTGATATATATGAAAATGTGTGTACTGATGAATATAACTCTAGAGATTATGTAAGAATACTGTTTCTAACGATTAGAGTATGATAAAAGGGGATACTAAACTCTCAAAGAATGTATTACTTTTAGAAGGTCCATACACCAAGGCTTGATGTTATTTTTAGACCACAAAAGTATTACAACAGTCACTCAGAAATCTGAGATTAGCCCATCTTTAAGCAGTAAATCTGAAAAAAACTTGAAACAAAATCATCTTTGACCTCCATACTCCAATAACATCAATAAACTAACTTTCAAAAGTACAGCAATTAAATTTATACTGCAATGTAGGAATCTTTTTCAGAAAATGCAGTGAAGCTTGGTGAGGAAAGGGGAGTTATGAGAAATGAGTTCTACAGACTATGACAGTGACTGGTGGGAAAACTATTTGAGGTGCCCTTCTAAGACAGGGTAAAGTCTGAGGTGACCTTATTTTAGGAATTTCAATAGGCGAAGATCTGTCTTCATCTTGAAACAAGACAGCAAAGTCTTCATCTTCAGATGGGCCTGAAGTTACTTCGTTTTGAAATGGGATAAAGCAACCAGAATTTTTATAAGATGAAGAAAATCCAGCTTTATGGAGGAATGGGAAAGTTCCACTTTGAGAGGGATGCTGTTGAATCGTGATTGCAGAACGATCTGTGCTGTAACTTTCAGTACCAGGATGAAGGAAATCTTTTAAATCTTTACATAATTGGCCCCTTTGTTGAATATCAGTGGCAATTCCATTTTGTTGATCGGGAGAGGAAACATCACTTGCAAGAGAAAAGAAGGATGATGTGCTTTGTTGATAGGAGGCTGTATCAATAGTGTTTCCAAAGGCTGGAGAAGTAGTGTTTGTTTCAAAATTCTTAAAATTTTTAGTGTTATATTCAGGAGCAGAGATGGTTATATGTTTTTTAGCATCAGTATTATTTGAGGTTTTAGAAAAGATTTCGATTTCTTTTAGATTAAACACATTCTGGCCACTTGCTTGAGGATCAAAAAAATTGGCACTCTTGTAATAGGAAACTATACTTAGTTTACGGGATGAGAAACGTCTCCTGCAGGACATAAAGCTACCAAAATGGTCTGAGGAAGATTTTAAATCAGTGAAGCTTGTGTCTTCTTCAGAATCAAAGTTAGCTCTACTTTGTTGACGGTATGAGGAAGCATTTCTTTTTTGAAATCCAACAAATAGAGAACATCTTCTTTCAGAGAAAGATGGACTTGATAGAGATAACAACCTTCTACTTGCTTTGGCTGAATTGACTTTACATGTTATAGGGGAATAAGACATTTTATGACCAAGAGATACATTTGGTTGTGAAATAGAAGAGGCTCCACGATGCTGGGCGTCTGTAGTAACTTGATCTTCTGGAGAACATCGCTGGAAGCTCTGGTCCTCTTTGCAGCAGCTAGAGTGAGAAAAGGGTCAAATGAGGAAAAAAAAATAGGGAGCAGAGTGGAGACCTGCCAAGCCTCCTGAAGGATAATATCCACCTTTTGGTGTCTACCAGCTGGTACTGTTTCCATACCAAGACAGAAACAGCAGGGAATAAGAATAGGGGAGCTGAAGTTAATGGTCACACAGATGTACTCAAAAGAACATACGAGTCTAAAAGCTTATTTCTGCCTACATAGTACCTACCCACTCTATTAAACCTTGGGAAGAGAAGTTGATAAAATCAGGGAAGCAGGTAGAAAGATCAGGGGAAGCATATGCCAGGATACCAGAACAAAAAGATTCCCAAAGGAAAAGACAGAACTGGTTTTAAAAATAATAAACCAGGCCGGGCTCAGTGGCTCAGGGCTCTAATCCCAGCACTTTGGGAGGCTGAGGCGGGTGGATCACAAGGTCAGGAGATCGAGACCATCCTGGCTAACACAGTGAAACACCGTCTCTACTAAAAATATAAAAAAATTGGCCGGGCGTGGTGGTGGGCGCCTGTAGTCCCAGCTACTCGGGAGGCTGAGGCGGGAGAATGGCGTCAACCCAGAAGTCGGAGGTTGCAGTGAGCCGAGATCGCACCACTGCACTCCAGCCTGGGTGACAAGTGAGACTCCTTCTCAAAAAAAAAAAAAGTAATAAACCACAATATCTGTTTGAGACTACTAAACTACTGTATTTAAAGGAGGTCAGGAGAATAAACTTATATTCTGTTGACTAATTGTATTTTAAAATATTAACCATGGATGAAGCAGAATCTCTCTGGGGATAATGATTCAAGTAAATATCCGGACAGTCCAGGATATCCAGTTATTATGGGAAACTAAAGGAAGCACTAAAGGTTGGTTTATGAATATTTTCAATGTTCCTTTAGCATATGTTGAAGTTTTTTTCTAAGGCTTACCTTAAGCATTTTCCCATTTTGAATTTAATCCAAAGTAAGTCTCTCTCCCCTCCCTTCTAGGCCATCATCTTTAAGCCATAAAATGCCCTTTGTAGGTGGAACAGGTCAGAAGACTGAATGCTCAAGCTGCATATGGAGTTAACATGGTAACAACACAAAATGTGATGACAGCAGACTCTAGAATCTCATTACATCAGTTTATATTAGAACTGTTCTGTAGCTCAGCTTTCTCAGAAGTTGGAATTCACATGGCTGTGGAATGTGTTTCTACCTTCACTGTTCAAGGAGTTATCCAACAAATCCAGGGGTGGGAAAACAGCTGTATGAGGACAATAACATATATGACACCTGCACAATCCTTTACCTTGGACCATCTCTCTCACCAGCTGCCTTCTACATCCCTGTCCTGCTAACTCCTTCTTCTTTCACTTGAACATTCTTTACCCCAGATTTTTGCATCCTTCAGTGATACAGAAAAGCAACTGTTAAAGACTTTGGCCTAAAGATACATTGAGAAGGGAAAAAAAAAGTTTAATAAGTAGCACATGTCCTTGCCCCCACAAATGAAACAAGCCTCATCCACCTTAGCAGTAAAGTATGCCATCTGACTGCTTGGGCCATTTGTACAGATTACGGGGATATGCTGTGCCACTATTACTCCTCAGAACAACTGATACTCACCTAAAGGCAAGGTTAATAGAGTTATTAGAAAAGAAACACTATCCTTTCTTATCCAAACCAATTTGGGTTACTGTCCCCATAACAGGTATATGTGTATTTGTATAACTACCTATGACATGAAACACTCCCTCAAATACTTTCATTTACTGTGCAATCTCCTGATCCTAAATACTACTACTGCCTCTAGCCTTTGCTCCCTTCCTAACACCCTACTCAGGAAACCCTTGAACAAATTCCTTTTAAGAGACCCAAAGCTCTCTCTAATGTTCAACATACGATGATCGGATTTGTAATTTGATTTTAGTTTACATACAAACTAATAAATTAATCTCTTACTGTTTCATGGATGCCGGCAGAAGACATGAGATTCCTGGGTTAGAGACAGAAGACTTACGTTACTTACAGCACAGCAAAGCAGCATGATCACCAGGACATTTATATTGGTTTTCCTGGGTCCCACATTGCCACAGGGGCAATGCAGAGGGCCCAAGGACACTTGCATTCACAGTGGATTGTGTTACAGGAAAGAAGGCTGAGCTTAAATGATCTACCACTTCTACAGTAAGTAGTAAGCAAACCTGCTAAACTTGCTCTTGGTCCTGAAGGGAAACAGTAACTCATTCTTCAAGGTTGCTCACCACAACCCTGAAAAATGGCCCACATAAAGAATGACCAGGGCCTTACATGCGTGGCTCATGTAGCAAGATGTCTGGGAGCACAAGAAGCCCAAGGAGGACTGTCTGTCTCTGTAGCAATCTATTAAATTTTCCCTCGCTTGTGAGATTCCTGTCTTTTTTTCCTAAGCCACACTAAGGTCTGATTGTCATTTTCCAAAAGGATCTCTTCTGCACATTGCAAGAACAGAATATGTAATGCTTATAAAGTTTCTATAAGAAATTTTTCTTTGAAAAATTGGGCCAGCTTGTTGTTTAACACTCCCACCAATGGCCTCTAAAAGAAGCATCTGCTCACTGAGCTACCCCAAAGGAAATAATTATTTGTAACTAAATCTCAATATTGTTAATCACTGCTGCTCAGTGGAGGTAATAAAGAGGTCAGATCACTCCCCTGACCCTATTCAAGCAAATCTATGATTATCCAGACACAAAAAAAAGGTGTTTGGGTGTGGTGCATTTGGAGGATGAGGAAGAAGATCTAGATCTGCTCAGACATCAGAAAAGAAATATCATACCAGTACAGGTAATATCTAGAAGCTGTTTAATATTGTTCTACATGAAGAACTTACCTAACCCTCTAAATGTCTGCAAATTGCCTCCTTTTGGCTTATTTTTAAGAGAACCAAAATTAGACTTAGCCCCAAAAAAAATAGTAATCCCTTATAATGACAAGCATCTAAAACATGTTCATCCTTCAATTCATTCCCAATTCTCTTTATTATCAATTCCATGACCCCAGATACCTTCTGCTTTTATCATGCCCTATGGCCACCCAACCCTCCTCCTTTTCTACAACAGCCACTCTATTCTCATCAAGGTCAATATTCCATCATTATACTCACTATGCCCAATGAACCTTTTGTTTATCTCTAACCACAATTACCACTCATTAAAATGAAAAATTCATCATGATTGCTCAGGTGGATATTAGAAAATCTTTTAGAATAAAGCTTCTCAAATGTTAGGGTGTGTAAGAGTCATCCACAGAGCTTGTTAAAATGCAGATTCCTGAGCACTGCTCCCAGACATTCTGATTTGCTAGGTCCGAGGTATGTCCTGAGAATGTGCATTTCCCACACTCCCACAGGCAAGATGGGATGCTGATGTTGCTGGTCCACAGACCACAGTTTGAGTAGCTCTGTTCCAGAACATATGGGTCACTGACGACCCCCAGAGTCAAGGCAGAAGCATCTTTGGAGGTACCTCATAGCAGCTGCCTATCTAAGCTGGAGTCTAGAAAAGACAGTGAACAATACCAGGGCTGAATGTCCCCCTCCTGGAACCTAGATGACAAGTCTCTTCAGAGAATCTATATTACACATGGGGAGAAGTTGGAGGCACAAGGGAAGAGCCCTGACTGGGACTGAAACCTTAACACAAAGAACAAGCCCCAAACTAAAAATTGAATTAACTTGAATTGACAAATGTAAGTTTTTCCACATTATTCAAAACAAATATTGTGAAGTACTCTGAATTCAGCTATTGAAAAATGTACATCTGTAGCTGATCTGAGTGTAGTATTATTCTTCAATAATAATAATACAAACTATTCAATTCATTACATTAGTTTAGTTGTTTTTATAAATAGTTTATCAAATGTGCCTGATTGTGGACAGTAACAGCAATATTCATTTTTAAATTAGCACCAGGTAAACTGTTGTATTTCCTTTCACTACAACATTACACTCTATCCACATAAGTTCCCTGTTTGTAGTTGGTTACCAAGATGACACAGCTGTCTGTATGTGACTTGCGAGGCAGAAAAAGTATGGCTTTTTTATGAATATAGCACAAATATTGGTTATTTCTATTTTATAGAAATTCTACTTTCAGAATTTTCTCATCCATATATTATTTTCTTTTGAGAGAAAGAAGGTTATTAAAATTCACTGAATAACTCAGAAACAGAAAGTCAAATACTACATATTCTCATTCATAAGAGGGAACTAAATAATGTGTACACATGGACATTGAGCATGGAATAACAGACAGTGGACACTTCTAAAGGTGGGAGGGTGGGAGGAGGTAAGGGATGAGAAATTACCTAATGGGTACAATGTACACTATTTGGGTGATAGTTACACTAAAAGCTCATACTTTGCAAAACAGCCATGTAACAGAACTGTATTTTTATTCTCTAAATCTACAAAAATCAAAATTAAAAAAATAATTTCAAAAAATAAAATAAATTCACTAGACAGTAGTTACTAAAAGCATTCTAGTCAAGAATATAGAACACGACACAATCAAGGGTTTGAAATGATGCAAAAACAAGCTGGAAGTAGTTTTGAAACAATGAAAACAAAAAGTATGTATTCTAGGCCAACAAGTACATCTGCATTCTAGCAACATTAGACAATTTGTTTTCTTCTCTATACTCTCCACATCCTCCGCCTTTTGCCTCTCTATCAAGCTCATCCTAAAAATCCCCAAATCTGAATCAACTCAACCACCAGGGTTCTTACTCTCATATATGAAATGGCAATAACTATTGAAAAACAGAATCAACCAACAGTGAAGACTGGTACGTAGTCTTGAATCTCGAATGGGGAAACCAACTCCTGGGTAATCCTTATGAAAGTTTCTAGTTAATTCCCTCTTCTACTCTCCACACCTGCTCTTCCAAACTTTCTTCCTTCACGTGTTCATTCATCATTAACGCAAATACTTCATGATAATTTATCATGTGCTGGATGATAAACTGTGCTAAGCACTGGGAACAC